TTTGTCCCGCTGCAGCTAGCTGCACCCGCTAAATTTTACTCTTTTAGCTAGCTGCAGTCAATGGAGAAGCGGGCGCTTCTTCAGCAAGTGCAGCTAGCTTATTTCTTATGAAATTTCATGCTTGGGAGGAACGATCTAATACCGCGTTCCTCTTATTATCACCTTGAAAACTTTGTTTTGCTTGAGCGCGTGTCGTCACCGATCCGACGATCTGGTGAATTTGAGTTTGAATTGGGTGTATATCATCGGTTTGTGTAGATTGTGACGATGTACTGGTGTATTCGTCTGGATCTTCTTCGAATTCATCGGTCGGAGAGCGTGATAAATAGTCTGCCATGGTACTGTCCAATAGTACACGAATCGACAAAGCCTGATCACAGTATCTATCGTTGGATTAAATTTTAGTGGTTTATTATCAATGACCGCCATCCTACCGATCCGATTTAAGGTTTTTTCCATTGATCATTGTGTATAAATCTGTGATATCGAATGTAGTAAAACAAGCACCGCTGTTCAATATTGATGTAATTTAGCGACCAACATAATTGAGTTCTCTATCGTATAATGTTTTGAGATTCCGATTGAAGATCGGTCTCAGGGATAAGTCTAAGAATCGTGAGATTTGGACCAGAACTGGTCACCTGCATAATTTTTCATCCCCGTCGATTCGTGTTATTGAATAATTACTTTACTTTAGAAGGCCAATTTTATTTACATCTCGGAGGTGGAGCCATGGGTTCGCCCCTTACGTTGACTGCAGCCAATATATACTTTTTCTTTTGGGAATTTTATTTCAGATAAAGATGAACTATATTGCCGGTGTATAGACAACAGAGCTGATCACCTGCATAATTTTTCTTGCCACCTGCAGGGGCAAAATAAAATCTATCCACGTTGCAGTTTGCAGGTTACCAAAAAAATCTTTTGTTCTGCACAGGCAGAGGTTGAGGGTGGAAACTTCTGCACTGCCCTGCCCTGCAGGTTGACTGCAGGTGGACCCTAAGGCGAGGTATAACAATTTTTTTTCCTAGTGACCACTATGTATTACACGCTGATAATTATAGACTGTATCACCAGTTACGATTCACTATCCTTGTTCTATATTTTTCTCTTTCTGTTATCGTTATAGTCTTTTGTCATCTTCTATATACTATACCTAGTGCGCATACTAAAAGAAACCTTACATACAATAAGAACGAAATTCATTCTTTTTCTTTATTCTATATTTTTCGTTTAGTTTAGTTTAGACTTTATTCATTTAAGAAAGAGAAATAAGAATTCTACACAGATGCGGTCTAGGCCATTATATTAGAGGAAAATGACATATCAAATGATATAAGCGATTACCGACAAAACGTTTCTTTCTTTCATCTTAAAGTGTCTAGTAGATATACAAAAAAAACTGTTAGTTAGTCTCTTTTGATAAGAGATCATTCTGACCTTCAGTGTGATCAATGTTTATCTTCGTCTCCTGTCCATTTTCATTCTCCACACAAAAACGTCTTTCCCTGCAGGGAGTGTAGGCAGGAAAACATTCTTCTTTATCTGCCGGCCGTTAGTGGAAATTTTTTTTTTTTACCTGCAAAC